AGAGCCAGTGACTGTGTTGCAAAAGGAACAAAGAGAGAAAAAAAAAAAAGAAAAGGAAAAAGAAAAAAAAAAAACTCAAGGAAAACTGTACGAACTTCTCCCCCCCCACACACACACCCCGAGCGAAATTCTTTTGTACCAATGAAGTTTGTTGTGTGCCTTTCGCGGTACGGCTGGACGTGACAATAAAGTGACAGTTGTTTGCATCGCTTTGACTCGTGGAGATCTAAAATGCTCCCAGGCTTAAGGGAGGGGTCTGAATTTAAGGACACGCTGCGTTTATTGTGCTCTCTGCTCCGGCGATCCCGGCTCCGGAGAGCTGGTTAAGGCAACTCCTGCCTCGGGCGGGGGGATGGATGGGCTGAGCCTTTCAGTTCTGATTTTTGGGGTGATTTTTATGGAAGTGGCAGCCAGGTCCAGCGCTCTGGAGCTGGGTGGAGGTGCTGGGGAAGCTGCAGGAGCTCCTGAAATAAGTGGGGTTAGGGGGTATCCACAGTAAGGGATGTAGATCCTGTGCTCCTTGCAGCTGTGCTTCCCGAGGGGATGTTCAGAGGGGTCCCCAACTCGCATCAGTCCTGGGATAAAGGGGTGAGCCCCTTGTTGTGGAGCTGGTTGGGAAAAGCCTGTCCCCAGGGCCCCCAGTCCTGCTCCCCACCTCGGGTAACAGGCAGGAGTGACCAGTGTGATGAGTGAGTCCATCCTCTGCCGGCAGCGCTCCACCCCTTTAATCCCACTTTCTCCCTCCCCCTCTTCTTGGAGCGGGCTCTCCTTAGGGACAATAGGATGAGTGTTTGGGAACAGCAGCCAGGTGAGTTTTCCCAAGGGAGGATCCTAAATTGATGTTTTTGTGTGAACCACCTGGTGTGTGATAGAGGGTTTGTGCTGCTTTTCTCCTCCACAACACCCAGGAGCACCATCCCATCTCCCACTAGTGCTAATTAAACTCCTCAGAACATAATTAGCCAGCCCTTTTCCTTGTGATTTTGCCAGTTTTTGCTGATCCTGGCATCTCCTTCCTCCAGCCAAGGAAAACTGTTATGGATGGTACAAACACCCACAGCCTTTCCGTGTCCCCATTCCCAGCTGTCGGAGCGTCTCTGGATCCTCAGTGTATTTATCCTCTCACAGGGATAGGGTGTGGAGTGACAGGACAAGGGGGAATGGCTTCCCACTGCCAGAGGGCAGGATTAGATGGGATTTTGGGAAGAAATTCCTGGCTGTGAGGGTGGGGAGGCCCCGGCACAGGTTGCCCAGAGAAGCTGTGGCTGCTCCATCCCTGGAAGTGTCCAAGGCCAGGTTGGAAGGGTCTTGGAGCAACGTGGTCTAGTGGAAGGTGGCAGGGACTGGGTGGGATGAGATGATCTTTAAGGCCCAAATCATTCTGGGATTCTATGATTCCATGAAGATGATGAAGAGCCTGTTCTCCCATAGGGAAGCAGCACCAGTAAAGCTTCGGGAGTGGTTTCTCCCAGTACAAGCCACCGTCCTGGGAGCCTGGATGCAACCATGCCCTACTTTAAGGCTGAGGGTCCAGGAGCATGGAGCATCCTTGGATTCTGCCTGCCTTTGGTGTCCATCCCTACAAACACTCTGGGAGAGAGATGAGGATGGAGACATGGGGCTGTGCCCCTCCAGCAAGGGGTATCCCCACTGCCCCCCTCCCCTGGCACCCTCAGCACCCACAGCACCAGGAGCATCTTGTGCCTTTTCTATGGGCTCCAAAAATAATTGCATGTTACCAGAGAATTCCCTTTGTCCTCTAAAAATACCCCTTGGCCCCTGCGAGGCGGGCACTGACCGTGGCCGGTCTCGGTGCCTAATTGCTGATTTCTGCTAAGACCCGACATTTTCGGGGCAGGAGGGAGGAGCACGAGAGAATCAGCAACTTCTGGGAGGGGGACTGCATTGTCTGCTGCTAAGTATAGCCTCCAGATTTCAGCCCTGGCCTAAAAAAACCCCTAAATTTTCCTAAAACCAGATGTGGAAGGGTTTTTTTGGACCAGCCAGCCCTGTCTCCCCAGGGGTGAGGAGGGGAGCCGGCTCTTCCCTCCCCATGGGCTGTGTTTAATAAAGGCTAAATAGGAATGAATGTAATGAATCCCCCTCCCTTTGATGACTCGGCCTCCATTTCTCCTTCATCTTGCCACGGGAGAGGTCTCCTGGGGAGGGAAAGGTCCTCCAGTTCCCATCCTGGCGTGTCCCCAGGCACCCACGCTGGCCTTTTCCCTGGGATGCTCCCGGCTGCTGGCAGCCCTCCTGCTGCTCTGAGTTACCATTTCACAGATTTAAGCTCTGACAAAAAGGCTGCGCTTGGGCCACCTCACCTCCAGTTTCTCCACTTCCAGACTTTGCACCTCCCATCACCATTTGGTGGCAGCCGGAGAAGCCCAAGACTTGGGATTTGTAGGACGACCACACAGGGAAATGGCACCTTTATGGAGCCAACTGCAAAATGCACGATAGAAAAAGGGAAATGTTGCAGTTGTATCCTTAATTTATTAATTAATTTTGCGACCAGATCCAAGTAAGAGCTGCTTTTCCCTGCTGTTAAGGAGCGATGGCTGTGCCAGGGCGGGTGCCTGGCACAGCATCCTCCTTTTATCAGCCCTTCCAAAACAGGCTGGACATACCCATCAACACCACCCAATCAGACACCAGTGACTAATTGGTGATAATTATGAAAAAATCCCCCGTGTGCTGGTGTGTTTTTCAGGGCATTTTTGGCACCCTGAAATTATCACCGGTTGCAGCAGTTTTAATTAACGCGGCGTTGGGGTCAACGTGTAGGGGTGGGGGTATTGTGCCATTGCCAGCTCCATGCTGGGTGCCAGGGAGTGCCAGTGGGGTGCCAGGGCTCCAGGGACAGCTGTGGGCGGGGGTTTTGGGTGTCGAGGTGCCGTGCCAGGGCTGAGCTCCCGCGCCCTGCTTGGAGGGCAGCAGAGGAAATCAGTCATCGAAGGAAATCAGTCATCGAGTGTTGCTGTGGAAACGGGAGGGGAAACTTGGTTTGTGGCAGCCAGTGCCTCCCTGCCAGGAGCCCTGTGGAGCCTGGCCAGTGGAGGGGTGACACACAGCCCCCTGTGCCCACTGCTGAGGCCCCGGGGGCTCCCTTTGACTCCCTCTGCGGGATGCTCCAATGGGGAGCTGCATCCTACAGTGCTGCTGCTGCTGCTGGGGGCACTGGCACGGATGTTTTGGGGGGCTGTGCTGCAC